AACAATATATAAAGCTGCAGCTCGTAGAAAAATGAGAAATCTAACGTTGCATGCCGGATCCCGTGCTACTGAAGCAAAACTTCATGCCCTCAACAGAATATAAAACCAAAACTAATAGCCAAATGCGAAAGTACTAATACTGTGTGCGTTAAAATTGTTGTGGATTGCCGTGAGGGAAATGAATTCAAAATTCAAATGCGGCAAAAGGCAGAATTCGAATTTAGATTTGGGCTCAGCCAACTGCAGCAAAGTTTGCAGCATTTTTGTCAGCGTGTACTGCAGTGCATTGTTGTTTCGGAGATACATTTCAGTTATATGTGTACATATCTACATAAATGTTTACTTAATTACTTTTTTTTTTTTCATTTATTTGATATCTTTTATTTTTTATTCCTTTTCATCTTTTTAATTTTTGTCATTATCTAATGATCTAAGAAATTTCTGAAACGCAAACATTTTGACGCTTAATACGAGAGTAGATTATTTTGTTTACTAAAATTATTGTTATCAGTATAATTCTGTGATGATTTCAGTGTTTATGGCATCTACAGTGAATTTTTTATGATGATTTACGTAAGGTGCGGAAAACTGTAGCAATTATGGACGAAAATTTTTTAAATTTAAAAAAAACTATTGAAGAAATAAAACTGGTGTTGCGATGTGGAATTTGGTGAGTAGTACAGGCTTTATTTTAGTCTGTATTTTTTAGTCTCTAGAGAGAAAAGTACTGAAATGCTGACCATTAGAGCCATTGATTTCGGCAGTTTTTGTAGTTATTTCCTACGAGCTTCTAAAACTTAAGCTCTATAAAGATTTGCCGGAAACGCTTATATTCTGAACAATTTTTTGTCAGCAGATTTTGCTGCAACCTGCTAAATGTGCTACTTTTCATCCTGTTCAAATCCAACATAGCTTTTCCTCGTATGTGGCATTTTATCACGTTTTAATTTTTTATAGCAGGAAACGAATTACAGAATCTAGTGTGTAGTAGTTTGGAAGAGGAATGGTTGGTACTTTTTGTTTTTATTGTAATGTAGCTTGTATTAAATGGACTGATTGAGGACTTAATAATGTGCTTTCAGCTTTTCCACCATAAGCGATGGTATACTTACAACCTGTAACCATGCCTTTTGCAAGTAAGTCAAGTTTTATGATGAACTTTGATTGGCAGAATTATATTCGAATTTTTTCTTGTACTCTTTACTATTTGAAGTTACTTTTTAAAAGCAATTTGCAGGGCGTGTCATTCTCAGTGCTTCCAAAAGCTAAAGAATCTGCGATGCCCTATATGCAATCAGATAGTCAATAAACGGTTATATTTGTTATTTTTTATTGGTTTTGAGGAGTTCGCTACGAATTAAGAAAGTTTCAAGCAAAGTTTCAAACCTTATTATTTTGCTATTTTTTAGAAGCTGTCAACCGTGTCCTTCTTTGACTTCCATAACAAAACAGTATTTGAATTTGGCGAAGTGTTTCAAGGTTGATTGTAATGCGTTAAGTGTGCCAAAAGAAATGCAGTTTTTTGAAAGCCAGGTTTGACAACTTTTAAGTTATTGGTCGTGCACTAACTCAACGCTAATAACCAACATTAGTTCCTAATCATGGTAGATCCACGCCTGATTCTAATAGGTTTCCGCAGTATTACAGGCTGTATGTGATAGTCAGTTTAGGCCGTTTGACATTAATTCTCCTTCAACTTCAGATACTCCAGTATTCCTTGTTGTGAGTAATTTATTTTCTTTTTTCGTTAAAGTTGAGGAAAAATTTATTTTTAAATGTCTGTTTCCATAACCAGCTTTGAAAGATTTAGGAAGCGGTGAATAAGTCAAAAAAAAGTGAAATCGGGCATGTTATTTGTAATTTTCCGGATTTTCTCGCAAATTTTTTTATTTTCTTCATATTTTTTTAAAATCAGTTATCTAAATCCGTAAGATTTCAACTTTTGAAAAAACGAACGTGAGATAATCATTGTTAGGATTAAGGGTTGACAGAAGGCAATGTACTTGTTCGGTTTTTGGTAGTTATGTATTCCCTTCAGCCTCAACTTGCCCCTCAAGCAAAAAGACCAAAACTATCCAGAAGCACTTCGTTATGCCGATTTGGGAAAACTGAGGTCTCCAGCAGGCGTGAGAAAGTTAGTGTGAAAACACCACTAGAAACCATTGATGAGACTAGTGAGACGTCTACTGGTAGCTTGGACATCACTATCCCGGGTGTTACGAAGAATAAAACTTATTCTGAAATTGCTGCGCAGTGTGAAGAATATGATATTGTTAGTGAGCTAAATACGATTGCAAATGGTCTTTTGGGTAAGTTTCTGTGCTTTGTTGTAGTTTGTTATGCTATTTTATGGGTTTTAATACAAAATTTTTTTAGTTAAGGAAATGAAGACTCCAATTGAGGTCCTTATACAATGTTTACCGTGGATACCAGATTACGTAGGATTGGTAGGTCGTTTGTCTTTTTTTATCAAAATGCCTGCTTTATGCTATTCATGAAGACTCACTAGAAAGTTATTCCTTATGCGTGATGCGTATGTAGGCTAGTTGTAATTTTCTAATTTAAGACACTGAGTATTTTAGACTGCCAGTGAAATTTGTGATGCTATTCAACAGAGAAAGGATTTAAAAGAAAAACCTGTAATTTATGAATCGAAAGGTGAAATTTTTGTTTAAACTTGTTTCTTCTCCAATTTTGGCTTTATTTAGTTTATTCAGTTTTAGGTGTACAAACGTCTGAAGAAAAGTCACTGATTGCTAACGAATTTGTTGTCAGTAATCCCATCCTAAAGCCAGAAACTAGTAATTGTTTGAGGTTTGGTATAAACACTAATCAGACACCAGGAAGAGAAGATAATTTGACAGACGTTGCTGGGCTTTCTGATACAGATAACAGAGAGGGTATTTTCTTTTTGGCGTGTGTGCATTCTTATCCAGTAGCAGTTTTATCACCTAAGCAGAGTACCATCGCTTTTTTACAAATAATATTGCCTGTGTAATTTCTACAGTTCTAGAAGCAGACAGTGATGCGACTGTTCCGATGTATATTGACGAACAGAGTAGGCTGTCTGAAGTTGATCATGTTGAACAGTCTGATAAAGAAAATGATGGTCCTGTGAAAGGCGAGGAGCCGAAATGTGAGCCAGAGATCAAACAGTCATTTCAACAGAATTTTTTTTGTGCGGACGAAAATGCTAGGGATGGTTACGAAGATGGATGCGGTAATGTCAGTTTTGCGAGAGACGTTGTTGTTGATTCACTTGACGGGCCGCCTTCCAGTGAAGCCTCAAATGCTACAGTTAATGCCAAAGAAGACTCAGTCAAACCAAGTACATCAAATGGGAACAGTAACGCAGCATTTGACTATAGATTAATGGTTTCCGGTAGCATACAGTGTAACTGTCTGGTTAGTAAGACTCCATGATTATAGTTACTATCAGTAACTGAATTAAAGTAGTTTTACGTTGTCAAGTTTAATAAGCATTTTTTACTTTGAAGCATAGCTGATGCGGCATTTGTCCGTTTATCCGTCTCGGTTCTCACCAGTTTCCTTGTAGCATTTGTGTTCAAGTAGATAAACTTTTGTTAAGTAACTTTTAAGAAGTTGAACTTTTTTGCTTATGTGGGGCAACTAATGTTTCATGTTTTTCCTGAGTACATTTTTGTTATGCCATTATTTTGTTTTCAGTCCGTATTGCACAAATTTTTTGAGATCTTTCGTTGTGCAACACTTTGGAAGGATTTTGATGATCAGTGCACTCATCTGGTTATTCTTAACTCGGGTCAGTCTATCCCACCCTACCTTTTTATTTAAATGTAATTTTATTTTGCCGTTTCCTGATTAGAACCTTTAGAAGGACGTCTTTGTACTAAAAGATCGGTGAAGTATGCGTGGGCTGTAGCTAAAAGCATACCTGTAATATCTAGGGAGTGGCTTGAGGACTCAGTGACTGGAAAAAGTATTCTGCCTATTGTAAGCTGTTTCTCAAATCTGGTACTACTTATGTTCAAGGTGTTGTTGCTTGATACATGAATAAAATTGCAGGAGAGTTATGAAATTGTTGGTGATGTGTACTGTGATCCACAAAGTAATTCTTCTTTGCGGTCACGAACCAGCCCTGGTAGTCTCTTTTCAGGGCTTCATCTTTGTTTTCCTTCCGCGTATTTTAAGGATTCAGAAGTGGCAAGAGGTAATTGAGTATTACCGTTTTATGTGCTTACAGTTCTTTTATAGACGCAAAGTTTTCTAAACTGCTTTTTTGATATTTGTTCCAGACCTTTTGATGGATATGGCGGAATCTGCAGGTAGTGATTGCTCTCAGGATGTTTGGGACGTATACTACCCAGAAGATGCTCAGAAGTGTTTTATAATTTTTGGAGTAGGTTGTCGAGATCGAGATGCTGCAAGAAGGTTAGTTTTTTTTAAAGCTTTTCGAGACTTTCCACGGTGAAGTTTCTGCTTTTGGTGTTTGGTCTGGCATAAAAATTTTCAGGTTTGAAGATGACCTCAAAGTAAAAGTTCTTATGGCGGAATGGATCCTCGATTGTTTAACACAGTTTTCTCTTTTCGACACTCAGGTATATAGGGTTGCAGAGAAATAAATTACTTGGTTTTTATACAGGTTCTTAATTGTTTTATTTCGCTTCTTCGACTGCCCTAAATTTTTGATGAGAAGGTTGCTTTTTTGTAATTTCTAAATGACATATGCTAGTAACTTCTGTGCTTAAAAGGTGTAAATACTCATTGGCCAGTGTTGTCTTTTAGTTAAATCGGTTTACTAACCTTCAAAAAATTGAGATGAAGATAGTTTACATCGAGTTTTATGTAAATATTGTTTGATTAAAGTTTAGTAACTAAATTTATGTTGTTGTCACCATGATACCAACTTCTTAAACGTGTTAGACACTGAGGCTGTCAGTGCTGCTCGATTTCTTTTTCAGTAGGAAATGGGCGTTTTGATTGCTTTGAGGATTTATTGTACACTATTTAACAAGTGTTTTTGCTGTTTAGAGGCAGTAATCTGAATGGTTTTTTTTTCTATTGTTTTACTTCTTAAAGTAAATCGTAATTAACGCTTTTAAGAAAATTACCTAGTTGGTTTTACTGTCACTTGAAATTTGAGATTGTGGAGTGTGTCGTTCAATTTAAAGAAGACTTGTTGGTGGTGTGCGGCCAGAAAACTAAGTGTCCAGGCCCTGGGTTTTATGAACGAGCAGAAGGTGCTGGACAAGGTTAAGATTTTTGGGGTGGTAGGCAAGTAAGGTAATTTGATTCATTTTTTGGGCTTATTGCTTCTATATGGAGCTGCTTTTCTTTTTCAACTTTAGGGAATAATCGTTGGGTTAACGGGTATTTTGCAAAGTGAAATTAGTAGTTTTGAGGTTTCAAATGTTTTTGTGAGCTTGAAAGTTTTGCAGCTCAAGGTTCTCTTGCTCTAAAGTTCAATCACGAAAATGTTGTTGTATTTCTGAAGAAGCAAAAAGAGAATTAGATCATATTTCAGTGACGGTAGGTGATGGACAAGTTTTATGAATCTCTTCATTCATCAGTATCTATGACTGCTCATTATTAACACGAAGAGCTTATATATGATTTGTATAAATTAAGTTTCAAAGGGCATAAATTACAAAAAAAAAAAAAGAAAAAAAAATGCAACATTCTTTGGGGTTCTTTAACAACAATGGAGGCCAGAATTTGACTATTTGAATACAAAGGATAATAATAAACGTCAATCTCGTAATCTCAAAAGCTACTAAAGTTTTACGTGTATCTTTTTGGTGCAGGAAAACTGGGTTCTTGCTATCTTAGGTAGAGAAAAGGAAGGGAAGGACTTAAAGGTATACAGTATCACTGGTTGAAACGTCTTAAAATCTTGAGAAATGTTTAGTCTGAGATATGAGGTGCGTATGGGAGAAAAAAAAGGATAGTATGAGGAAAAAGTAACAACGGGAAGAAACAAAAAAATATCTCTCGACCTATAATTTTCGCACTTTGTGTGGGAATTGCGGGTTTTCTCGGAGGTTCTAACGTCGTTTAAGACTAGCTCATAATGACTAAAGATTGGGTCAGTCTTGTTCGATTACGCAAGTTGACACAATTGGAGCAAACAAATAATCGGTCCAATTTTGGCAGATCGGAATGAAAATAAAATACAGTTAACGTGGAACAAATAACCACAGTACAGTAAAAGAAATTATCATGAGCATAAGGGCAAAAGGATTTCTACAGAATCGTAACTTTTATAAAATGCTGCTGTAGTATTTCTAATAGGTGCATTTATTTTAACTGGAGGAGAACGACTTTTTGTACTGCGTTTTTTTCGTCTCACGATCTTCACTCATCCACAAATGCACGACTTGGCGATAAGGTTTGAAATCTGAAACTGACTACTATATAACATTAGTTGAGTTATGCTTTCCAGATTATTTCTACAGCACTAACTGCTATCATGCAGACCGTTTATGTAAAACAATGTCTATTTTGCGTAAAGTAAGGTTCCACATGAGATAGTTGACCGCTGTTGTTACAATAGTTATTATTTTATGTGGTCTCATCTCAGCTTGATGAATGATGACTATTTGAATGTAGAGTCACATCAACTTACCCGTGTACGTTTCAGAACTTTTGTTTCGCTAAAATATGTAACGTCTAAATCTTCATATTCTGCCGGATGGCAACATGATGCAAGTGTATGGTTATATTGTGCGGTTAAAATACTGTGTCCGTTTCGACTTGGCTGAAATAACGGTACTAGAGGTCCTGGCTCATCATTTACTTCAGATTTTCAACCAACAGTCGCTGTTAATGATACCACTGTTACTGATCAATTATCTGGACATAGATTTACTTATTCGATCACGTTTAGTGGTCATTAGTGTTGACACCGTTCACCAAAATTGGGGATTCGTTTTTTTGTTTGAGTTGTTTTTTGATGGAATGAAAAAGGATGTGAAGAGAAGCGGCAGACTTGCATTTGTAGGTAGAAATATCTCTTACATGTTTTATACTACATTCGCCCAAGCACATAAAAGCGTTGTAAGAAGGTGGAAACTGAACAAATTCCCATCCAGCTTTGTGAAAATCAATGATCAGATCATAGCGGCAGCATTCTTTGATTTTGTTATTGTGACAGACTGAATATTGAGTTTCACGTTTCGTCCGTGCATTTTGGTCTACTGTCTTCATTTCCAGAAAAACCGTCTGAAAAAGAATTTTATAATGATAATTGTTTTGAATAGTATTCTGGTTCTCTCAGAGAATTGCCACCTGACAATTTAGTCTGTCATGGTTTAATAAAATTTTGTCTACAATTCAGATTTTTCTTGAAATTTGAAAGAAGAAAAGATTTTTTAACATTAAGAAATTTGACTCTGAGTAGGAAAGAGTAATGCATTAATCATCGCTATTCGCTGTTTGACAGTTTATATAAATGAATACCAGCCGACAATTTTTAACAATTCTGGCTGAAACAATAAAGGCTTGATGTTTGAGCGACAGTTATTTTAATACTTCATAAAGTTTTAATGAGTAAACGTGTTCAAAAATTAATTATTTAGAATTTTATCAAAAGGTTTTACATGCCAGTTAATAGTGGCTTGGGGAAAATATGCCAAAGAAACGAGAGATTTTAATGGTCGTCAAGCTGTAGTAGATGGTATAATGGTTCAGGAGGGAGGAATAAGATCTTAAGTTAGGAGCCTACTTTCATGTTGCTAAAGACTTTTAGCCAAATTCTTTTACATTATTTGCTCTGGTTATTTGTTAAGTTTTAAAAATTCGCACTTTGAATGACAGTTAGTATAAGCGGACAGATAAAATATTGGCATAGAGCAGCTTTTGACAGTAGTTTGCGTAATAGTATTGGTACTTCAAAATGGTTAATGGTTAATCGCAACCAAATTAATGAACTTCAAATTCGGAACGACTAGCACTTTTCAGATGAGCAAAACCTATAGAAGTTACGATGCCACCGATCAGGGGTGTTACGGATGAAGGACGAATAGAATTTTGCCAGTAAATGTTAAATCTGCTTCTCTGAGCAGTTTTTTTTTTTCAAAATCTGGATTTTTAGACACGGAAGTGTCACTTAAATCTATATTTTCCAATCGGTGCACCTTTGGCTTAGCAGTTAATTTTATAAAGCTGAGAAGCGAATATAACTGCTTAATGGGTGTAAAATCAAGTCTGCAGTAGATTAATAATTCAGTCTTGTTTGGACGATACAAATGACGTATAGAAATTCCGGATGCTTTTTTTAGCAGTCTTTGCAGGGTGTTCGGCAATGAATACACTAACTCTAACCTGGATTTGAAGCCTGCACAGGACACATGCCACTTTACTATAAGTACAGGTAATATCTGGCTCATAAAGTTCAGTGAAAAAATATTTACTCAAGACACATGATGCCATTAAAATTTGTTTCTTTTTTTCTAGCGTGAGCACTTTTTTGCTCAATTTTGCTCTTGCGTATGTGATGTGATTATTGATGTTATAATAACTATAACAAGCTATAAAATATAACAAACCATAATGCGATTTACTTGATATTATGCTGAATTTTTTGGGAATTATGCAAGACAAGACTTAGAATTTAACTCTATACCTATTTAGTTCGCGTAGGCTTTAATAAGTTTGAAAAAAGCATTATTTCAAAGATCTCTCTTTCCTCATTGATTACTGCGACCCCAACAAATAATACTTTAAACTGCTTCAGCTAATATCAAAATACGGTTTACAGGTTTCCTAGCCCGAACCGTTACTGGTGAGGAAGCCTTCAAATAATTTCTCATGGCTCCTTTCTAGAATATAATTCAGCCAACAAACACGTTTTGTTGGAACTGCAGGGGAAAGTTAAACATGTGACAAAATTTCAGCCTAAGCAGATGTTATCTATCTACTTAACTTGAAGAATTCCTTCCGGCAGAGGCTACGGCAGTATCGAATTAAACTCGACTTTTAAACTTCGACTTTTAGTCGAAGTGTTGATCTGCAGGCATTACTTTAATTTCTTCCCCATCCCTTCCTCCTTGTTTCTATAAATATATATATATATATATATATATATATATATA